CATCGAGTTCGAGCTCTGGGGCGTCGAGCGGGTCGAGCGGCCGCGTGCTGATCGGCTTGTGAGGTCCTCTTCATCCTCCTCCTCTCCTCCTCCCCTCCTCCTCCTCCTCCTCCTCCTGCCCCTCCTCCTCCTCCTCTCCTCCTCCTCCTCCTCCTCCTGCTCGCCCCATCCTCTGGGCTCCTCCTCCTCTTCCTCGTCATTATCCTCCTCCTCCTCTCCTCCTCCTTCTCCTCCTCAGTCCTCCTCTCCTCCTCCTCTCCTCCTCCTCTCCTCCTCCTCTCCTCCTACTCCTTATCCTACTTATTATTCCTCCCTTTCCTCGTCCTCTTCCCCCTCCCCGCCACCTCTCCGAAAAGATGGCCGATGCGACGGCCGAAACGAGCGAGGCGACGAAGCGACGGCGACACGGCGACTGGCACTGACGACCGAGGCGACCGAACCGAGCGAAGCTGCGACGACGTCCGAGACGACGACGACCAGACCGACCGAAACGACGACGCGACTACCGAACGACCTCCAAAACGACTGAAGCGACCGAGACGACGACGACGACTGCGGCCGCCCCCAGGTCGCGCCGGGCCCGCGCGGCCACCCTGGCCGCCCTGGAGGGATGGAGGGAGAGAGAGAGAGAGAGAGAGAGAGAGAGAGAGAGAGAGAGAGAGAGAGAGAGAGAGAGAGAGAGAGAGAGAGAAGGAGAGAGAGAGAGAGAGAGAGAGAGAGAGAGAGAGAGGAGAGATAGAGAGAGAGGAGAGAGAGAGAGAGAGAGAGAGAGAGAGAGAGAGAGAGAGAGAGAGAGAGAAGAGAGAGAGAGAAGCCGAGGAAGAGGGAGAGAGAGAGAGGAGAGAGAGAGAGAGAGAGAGCGAGATAGAGAGAGGAGAGAGCGAAAGAGAGAGAGAGAGAAGAGAGAGAGAGAGAGAGAAAGAGAGAGAGAGAGAGATAGAGAGAGAGAGAAGAGAAGAGAAGAGAAGAGAAGAGAAGAGAAGAGAAGAGAAGAGAAGAGAAGAGAAGAGAAGAGAAGAGAAGAGAAGAGAGAGAGAGAGAGGAGAAGAGAAGAGAAGAGAAGAGAAGAGAAGAGAAGAAAAGAGAGAGAGAGAGAGAGAGAGAGAGAGAGAGAGGGTGAGGGAAAGGGGGGGGCATTGCATGAGTGCATGAGGGCAGTTTGGCAGTGGGGCAGCGGGGCACAAGGTGCCTAAGGTGCCTCCTTCTGCCTGCACGTTTTTATTTTTGGCCTCCCCCATCTTTTGGGCCCCAGGGGCCCAGGAGCCCAAGGGCCCAGGGGCCCACCGGGGGCCCACCGGGCCATCGCATCGCATCCCCGTAGAACCGTAGAAACCCACCCGCACCCGTCGGGCTCGGAATCGCCTGCACAATGCAGGCCGCTTGGTGTTCGCACGCGCCATCGCGCTGCGAAGTGTGATCATCGTCATCATCATCATCATCATCATCATCATCATCGTCATCGTCATCATCATCATCGTTGCCGTCATGCCGACATCATCGTCATTATCGCCATCGTCGCCATGCTGATCATCATCATCGTCGTCGCATCGATCTTGTCATCGCGTCATCGCCGCCGTCGCCGTCCATCGGGGGTCGCCGCGCTTCCAGTTTCCATTTGCTGTTGGCGCGTGTCGCGCGCTTCCTTCCCCGCCCCCTCCTTCCCCCCTTCCCCCCTTGATCTCGCATTATCGCAGCCCTTCCCGCCGCCCCTTCCTCCCTTCCTCAGCCTGCCTCCCTTCCCCCCTTGCGCCCCTCCCTTCCCGCCGCCCCCTCCACCCCTTTTCCTCAGTTCCTCTCTTCCGCCCCCCCTCTCCTCTCCTCCTCTCTTAGACTTCCCAGTGGCTCCCCCCCCCCTCCAATCCCCGAGCCCGAGGGCGAGGCGGGGGTGGGCAGGGGTGGCGGGTGGGGGGAGGGTAGGCGGGCCAGGGGAGGCCCCGCGGCGGCTCCGCGCTAGCGGCCTGGCGGCCTGGCGGCCGGGCGGCCGCGCCACTGCCCCGCGGGCGCGCCCCGCGCCAGCGCAGAGCGGCCGCCCCGCCGCCCCGCCGCATCGCGGCGGGCGGACATCGCCGCACAGCCGCCGCGCGCGAGCGCGCGAGCCGCCACGGCGGCGGCGGCAGCGACGGCAGCGACGGCGTCGTCGTCGTCGTCGCCGTCGTCGTCGTCGCATCGTCGCCAGCCTGGAACAGACCCCATACCCCTATGATTGGCGTCTTTATGTTTCGGCGCCAATTTTAGGGATCCCAGGGATCCCATGAGTTTGTAAATTTGTAAAGGCACATCCCTAAGATTGTCATCGCCTCATCGCCTTATCGTCGCCTTGGGCTTGCCGATCTTCGGGGTAGGGATCAGTTCGAGGCTGGTTCGTCGTCGCCGTCATCATCGTCGTCGTCGCGTCCTCGTCGTTGCGTCGTCGTCGTCGTCGCCTCGTCGCCGTCGCCGTCGGCGGCGTCGTCGTCGTCGCTCAGTCGTTGTAGTCGTGTCGTCGCCGTCGTCGCCGTCGCATCGTAGTCGTCGTCGTCGTCGCTTCGTCGTCGTCGCCTCGTTGCCGTCGCCGTCGTCGTCTTTGTCGTCGTCGTGTCGTTGTCGCGTCGTCGTCGTCGCCGGCGTTTTCGTCGTCGTCGCCGCCGTCGTTGTCGATGTGGTTGTCGTCGTCGCTGTCGTTGCCGACGTCGTGGCGTCGGCGGCGTCGACGGCGTGGGCGTCGTCGTCGAGGAGTCGAGGAGCGATGCTCGACTGTTCGATCGGGGGTAGGTTGCATTTCTTTGTGTTTTGCGTGGTGTATTTTCTGGTCTTTCGGCTTGTTCCAAATCGCCGCGGCTGGGTCAGCATCGAAATCACCATCAGAACGCAGAGGGGGGGGATAGGGAGATGAGGAAGAGGGGGGTGAGGGCGGTGAGGGCGAGAAGGAGTGGTGGGAGGAGTGGTGGGAGGGTGGGGCGAGGAGGAGGGGGGGGGGGATAGGAGGAGGACGAGTAGGAGGAGGAGAAGGAGGGGTGAGGGAGGGAGGGGAGAGGGTGGACTGAGGTCGCCCCGGGGAGAAGAATTAGCTTACGGAAGGGGTGTTGGTTTGAAGTGATCCGCCGTCGCTTCAAGTAATTAGCGCCGCTAACAACAACAGCTTTGAACATACTCAAGTTTCTAGTGCTGGGCACTGCTTGTTATCAACATTCGGTATTCGCCACCGTTTGAACGCCCCTCCATCTGTGAGGCTGCTGCGAACTTCAGGACACCCTCAGGCGAATTGTCATGGCGCTCTGGCGAGAGTCACATTTTGAAGACGGCCCCCCTCCACCCGTGAAGTTGTTTCGGATTTCAAGCTTCAGCGTCATCAGCGTTGACAAGTATGCGGCGAAACGCGAAACGTCCTGGGCGGCTGGGGGCTCTCCAGGGTCCCAACACCGTGCGGTGACGGACCGCGCGCTGTGAGGCAGGGGGTTCCGAGGTCACCACGTCGGAGGAAGGAGATGCGACACCAACATTACCAGGGGGTCCACCTCCAGCGAGGAGGTCCACGATGTCTCCCCGAGCTGGAGGCTGGGGATGTCTCGAGCGAGAGGGGGGGGGCACACCGTGCACACCACCATGGTTACCCCTCTTGCTCCTCGCATCTCCTCGCCCTGGTGGTGTTGGTGTCTTCCTTCCTTGTTCCTGCCACGCGGTCCGTCACCACACGTTTTTGGGGTGGTTGGGGATGGAGGATCGCGGACACGTGGCAGGAGGTAGGATACGGTGGAGACCCATGTCAGGAAACACTCTGCTTGCCTCCAGGGTGCCCTGGGTTTCTTGGGTTTCGCTGGTTGTGCGATGGACAGCGCGACGTTCCCACCCAAAATCGATGGACGTCCTGGGGTCTCAGGGTTGGGCTTCTTGCGGAAGGGTTTTTGTGGACGGGCCCCCTACTGTAAGGGGACGGGAGTGCGGCCAAGACGCCGTGGTCAAGACCGCTTCGGGCTCAGAAGGGGCTCCGGCCTGCTGCCAGCGCCGTGGTTCTGCGACGGGGAGAGCCTCGTTCGTGGCCGAGGCCAGCCGTGGCCGGAAGGTGCCTCCTCGTCCCTTGCTCGGCCTTCCTTATGGGAGTTCGGAGGCTGCATGGGAGGAGGAGGAGGGTGAGGATGAGGATGAGGAAGAGGAGGAGGAGGAGGAGGAGGAAGAGGAGGAGGAGGGGGAGGAGGAGGAGGGGGAGGAGGAGGAGGAGGAGGAGGAGGAGGAGGAGAAGGAGGAGGAGGAGGAGCACGGATGGATGATCGAGGGTGCAGGGGAGTGTACATGTCAGCGGGAGGCTGGTTGAGTGTGGAGAGAGGAGGGACGACGGCGGCCTGAGGAGGGAGGACGCAGGAGGTGCAGGACCGAGGTTGGGGGATCAGGAGCGGGCACGAGGGGCGAGCGCGCGTGGCCGTTGCGGAAGGAAGGTCGAGGATCGTGGGTGCGCGATGCAGGGGCCAGCGGGGTCCGGGATGGAGGGGCGAGGGGGGCCTCCACATCTGGGCGTCGGAGGCAGGTCAGGACCGGCCTGTGCGCCACGTTCCGGGGTGATCGACGTGGCGCGAAGGATCTGGCATCAGGACGAGGCAGAGAGTTCTGGCCGTACTTCCCTTCTCGGCCCTGTGACTTCTTCGCGACATCAGGTCTTCTTGGAGAGGGGAGGAGGACGAAGATGAGTGAGGAGGAGGAAGGGGAACACGAAATTCGAGGTCATGGCGACGGCGAAAACGATGACGAATCATACGCCGACGAATGCGACGACGAACACGACGACGGAGTCGAGTCTGGGTCCTGGGTAACGACCTCGGAGGCGGAGTTGAAGAACGAAAAGTCGGCGACCACGACGAGTCGACGTGACGAAGACCACCACGACGACTGCGACCACAACCACAAGGACGACCACGAAGGCCAGCACGACGACCACGACCACGACCACGACAACCACGACAACCACGACGACGACGACGGAGACGGCAGCCAAGAAGACCACGACGAAGAGGCGGAGCCCTGGCCGCGAG